TTGGACTATCTACTGCCGAGGAAGTTTGTAATTAATTTTAATAAAATGACGTTTGGGAACAACAAAGGCCAAGTTCCGGTAACTGTTAAGGGACAGGTTGAACTAATTAGGTGCCATCAAGCTGAAGTCAAAGTGACTGAAGGAGTTGATGATGGTGAAATGGAACCAGGTATAGATATTAAATCAGAGCATGAAGCCACTGGATACACTCCAGCAAAGTTGATGTTTGGTCGGGAACTTCGGTTGCCAGTGGATCTGTTTACGGGATGCCCACCTTATGAAGAGTTGCCTGAGAATGTGTCAGAGTTTGTGAAAGTGTTATCGGAAAGGATGGATGATATTCACCATCATGTGCATTCAAACTTGAAAACGTCTGCTGATTCGATGAAGTTAACTTATGGTAAGAGATCTACTGAAGTCAGCTTTGAACCAGGAGACAAGGTGTGGTTGTATAATCCCAGGAAGACCAAAGGGAAGTCTCTTAAGTTGTCTTCTCCATGGGAAGGCCCATATGACACAGTGGATCGTCTGTCAGATGTGACTTTCCGAATAAAATGTGGTTGGCGAGGTAAGCCAAAAGTGGTGCATGCCAACAGGCTTTGGCATTATCACGGTCCAGGACATTTCAGTTGGGCCGAAGTGAACAACAGAACAAATGACGCTGCTGAAGACATGTCACCTGAAAAAGCCACTGTCGAAGAAGAAACTCTACTCAGCTTTGAGAAGGGAAACGATGAAGCTACCACTGATGTGAATGTTACCGATGATACGACATTTCCTGATGAAGCAGAAGAACCCCATATCAAGCAGAAGCCAACAAGACGGATGCCAGTACGGAAGAAGATATGTCCCGTAAAATTAAGAGACTTTGTTGAATTGTAATTTTGTGTTTGTAATTCTGTACATTTAATTAAGTTATTGTTAATTGTTTATTGGTTTAATGTAAATGGCTATTGTTTGGGTTGAAAATACTAAGGAAGGGGCAGTGTTACGACAGCTGAAGTCACGTGACGCTAGTAACACGTCATTGACTTCTAGAAATATCCTGTTCCTTC